TTGAATAAGTCTAACTATCTACCCCAATCTCTTTTATTAAGAAGGGAATTCTGTTCAAATAACTGCTTTTGTCTGGAATCTCTGTTTTTCTGGTCATTTTCTGGCAATTTTATAAAATCAGCGGTTTAGAAATACTCAAATCATTTTTAAAACACCTTTCTATCCCCTACGGATGAAAGAAATGAAATTCAGCCGGTCGGCATCACCACGTTTAAATGCCTTTATTCATTAAATTACTACTAAATCAGTGATTGATAAGGAATATGCACAAAAGAGGATTTGTCTACATGGACTTAATTAAGTGTCCAGCGTGTGTCAATTAGGTTAAAATGGGATGTAAATGTATGTCGACGCATATTTTGATAAATAAAATAAACAAAGTATATAATTATATACAAATAAAGTATACAATTATAGTTTAACATGTTTTGTTTTTCTCTCAATGACGGATTCATTTACGGAAATCGTGAAGTAACCCTCAACAATTCACATCTTTTTATTAAGTCTTGCGAGCTTTCGACTGACTCAGTCATTGTTAAGAATAAAATTCTTGTGATGAATTCTTAAATCTATTTGAAATATGACGCCTGTTACACATTTTAGAAGCTATTCATATCAAACTAAATAGCCAATGATTATAAAAATCATAAAAATATAATTTTGGAACACGCGATTTAAAATGTATTTATATTCTTAGAACTCATATGCCACAATATTCATGTGTCATCAGAAATATTTCATTTTAAAACTAACATCACGTTCTCGTGATGTCAGATGCATTCAAAATATAATGTGGACAAATATTTTATAATTTTTATCAAAGTTCATGGAAATCAATGTCAATTGGAAAATAACATGGCGGCTTTGTTCATTGCGACCAGAAATAATCATTTTAAAAGTATTTTTCGTATTAATATATATGAAAGAATCCAAAATATATATATATATTTGCGTGCGCGCACATTTCATTGAATACGACAGACATGGTGCTTTTATTTAGTTTTTTATACATATTAAAAGACACACACACACACACACACACACACACACACATACACACATACACACACACACACATATATATATATATATATATATATATATATATATATATATATATATATATACATGAATTTAATTAGACTGGCAACTAGGTTTCACCGTTTTGTTGTTGAACTATCTAAATGAAACCGCCATTTCTACTCTAATAGTTTATTTTTCCGCACTTCCCATGCGCATTTCTCATGCGATCTAATGTTTTTTTTTCTTTTCAGATGATAAATTATATAAACACTGCCCGAATATTCTTTTTATCCTAGCGCTTTCGGCTATGCATTTATCGATTTTCAAGGATTAAATATTTTAACTATTAAATAGAAAATAGTTTGGTGCATGTATGTTTTATAAAATGTTTTCATTTTTGAAAACACGGTCAAGATATTGTGTCCATGTTCATAGTTAATATTATTAAGTGTTGCTTTTTTTGTTTTTATTAATAAGGCTTACATTATTTTTAGTCTTTTTTTGCATGTAGATGATGCTATTATATTAGTGTTGTCAACAAGTATGTTACGAATAGTGTCCGGTATGTCTCCATGAATATTTAAATGAGATCTAATTGAGCTATGGTCAGAAAGGTGTAGAGTGAGTCTGCGTGTCTAACATGTTGTAGTGTGGCCTATATAATTATTTACGAATGCTGATTGATCAGGAATACAATTCCTTAATGGGCAAAAAACGAAATAAAAGCTCCTTATCTGTCGTATTCAATTAAATGTGCATGAAAGAAGGATTGTTGCCTAAATACACAAATATATATATATATATATATATATATATATATATTAAAAAAGAAGGGGGTGCCGCAAACGTTTTTGGTTGTAAGATTTGGATTTATTGAGAAAGAAAATTATATTTGTTTTACACAAAACAGAATTTCTGGTCTCGAGAATATTCCACCGTGAACATGAAGAAAATTAATTATTTTAATAATATGTAAAAATTCCACTTTTCACCTTCAGACGGTTGGTGAGACTCGACCAGAAACACGTCTGTTTGAATTATTCTGAAAGTATAATATTTTTTTCTCAATAAATCCACATTACAAACCAAAACGTTTGCGGCACCCCCTCTTTTTTAATATACATACTTTTCTCTCGTTGGAACCACTACAACATATTTCTTTTTTATATATATATATATATATACATACATATATATATATATATATATATATATATATATATATATATATATATATATATATATATATATATATATATAGAATAATAAGAAACGTAGCCTTAATTTAAAATATTAAGGTTATCTATGCTTATAAGTGAAGTAAACATTTTAATACGTTATTCTAAAAGTCGGAATAGAACTATGGATTTTAAATTTAATTTTATAATTAAATCTTAAATTTTACTTTCTGTTTTGAAACGTGGTAATTCCTGTGTAGCGATGGAATCATATTTTTAAAATAGAAAATAATTAATATATATATATATATATATATATATATATATATATATATATATATATATATACGTGTGTGATAATTAAGTTAAACTCTCTAATAGTGGTGAATAAACTAAAGATATTTGGCCTTGTTTCTCCCTAAAGTACCTGTGTTCGTCTCCGTCGCATCTCACGACAAATACGTTTATATTTTATCCCATAGATTCTGTGGAAATGGAAAATAGAAGGAAAAAAATAAATAAAAGAAGCTTGATAAGTAATTTATTATCTACAGCGAAAACTATTTTCCGTTTATTTTGGAGTTTTGCTTTGTTTTGTATACTTTTTATATTATATGATATTTATCAGATTTCAGGGAGGAGACAGCGTTGCGCTAGACCCAGATAGGAGAGAAAGGGCAATATGTATGGTGTTGATAGAGAAAAAAAAGCTAAAAAGACTTGACGAGTGGTATAGTGGGGGTGATTAAAACAAAAAATGATGATAAAAAGATGATTAGGAGAGATCAACAAAAACATAATGAGATGTACAGAGTAGCAAAAGAGAGAAAGAAAGGGAAAGAAATGTAAGATTAAAAGGGCGTACACGAGTTAAATATATATATATATATATATATATATATATATATATATATATATATATATATATGTGTGTGTGTGTGTGTGTGTGTGTGTAGGCGAAAAACATCTTCCGTTTTAAATTTAGACACCCCTACCTTACCCTGACTTGACATCTATGAATGTAACTCTATACTGATACAAATTATTAACACGCAACACCCCTTCCTATTTAAACAATCGCTCTAGCTGTTACCATGGAAATTTTGATTTCAATAATGAATATGCTATTAAAACGCGTAAATTTCAGAAATAAGTTATTCCAAAAAAAAACTTCGCTTGAAGATGGAACAGAGCTTACTTTAATTCAATTTAATTCAAATAATTATATTGAAGTTTTCGGCTCTTGTTTTGAAACATGAGACCTCTTATGTAGCGTGTTGGAATCATATTTTTAAATAAATAATTATATATATATATATATATATATATATATATGCAGTGAGAGAGAGAAAGAAAAATCACAACAGAAAAAGAAAGTGATATTGTAAGACAATGGAGTCTCGAAAGACAATTCCGGGCTGGATTTCTTCTTCTTCTTCTTCTTCTTCTTCTTCTTCTTCTTCTTCTTCTTCTTCTTCTTCGTCTGCTTTATCTTCTATGTTTCGTCGTGTCCCTTCAAGGCTTAGACGTTAATGGCTCTCCTCCACTTTCTATCTCTTGCAGATCTAAGTACCGTTTTTCTTTTCCCTCGTATTCATCGTTCCGCAATGCACGGGTTGTTCCTTTTGAATTTGATATGTCTTATGTGGACCAAATTTTCAGTGTATTCCTTCCTCGTTATATGTCCAAGAAATTCCATCTGTCTCTTTCTAATTGTGAGTATTAGTATCCTTTTTGTTTAATTTGTCCTTAAGAATTTTTTCGTTGTTTCAGTATTTTTATGTAGAATCACATTTCTGTTGGAAAAGGCTTCTCTCTATTTGTGTGGAAATGGTCAGCATTCACTGCCATATAGGAGGATTTTCTTTGTTTCTCTTGCTTCAAAGCAACTCTACATCTATCAGTAAATTGCCCAGCATTCACTGCCCTATAAGAGGATTGATATTACATAGCAATCCAGCACCTTTTTCTTTGTTTCTCTTGCTTCAAAGCAACTCTACATCTGTCAGTAAATTGCCCAGCATTTACTGCCATATAAGAGGATTGATATTACATAGCAGTCCAGCACCTTTTTCTTTGTTTCTCTTGCTTCAAATCTCCTTTTCATCTGTAAGTAAATTGCTCAACATTTACTCCCATATAAGAGGATTGATATTATATAACACTCCCGCCCTCTTTGTTACTAAGGAAAATTTTCTGTTGTTAGTACATTGTTTAACTTTTGGAACGCACCTATTGGTATACCTGTATGAGGTTGGATTTCGACCATTGAATGTAGAAAAACATTTATTAAATTGGTAATTTGGTTGATCCAGTAATGCTGTCTCGTTTTCGATCCTTACCAAATGAATGGACATTTAATTTCTGTCAATGTATGGCGTTTTGGGAAAACCTATTGTCCAACCACGAAGATGTAAAATAGATTACACAGAAACTACTCTTAGCAAAAGCTTATAAAATACGGTTAAACAAATACATATACAGAGAAAGAGATAGATAAACAGAGAAAGAGAGAAACAGAAACAAAGAGAGAGAGGCATAAACAGAGAAAGAGAGAAACAGAAACAAAGAGAGAGAGACATAAACGGAGAAAGAGAGGCATAAACAGAGAAAGAGAGACATCAACAGAGAAAGAGAGACATCAACAGAGAAAGAGAGAAACAGAAACAAAGAGAGAGAGACATAAACGGAGAAAGAGAGGAGAAAGAGAGACATAAACAGAGAAAGAGAGACATAAACAGAGAAAGAGAGACATCAACAGAGAAAGAGAGAAACAGAAACAAAGAGAGAAGAGAGACATCAACGGAAAGAAAGAAAGGAGAGATATAAACAGAGAAAGAGAGACATAAACAGAGAAAGAGAGACATCAACAGAGAAAGAGAGAAACAGAAACAAAGAGCAAAGAGAGATATAAACGGAGAAAGAGAGGCATAAACAGAGAAAGAGAGACATCAACAGAGAAAGAGAGACATCAACAGAGAAAGAGAGAAACAGAAACAAAGAGAGAGAGACATAAACGGAGAAAGAGAGGCATAAAAAGAGAGACAGAGAAAGAGAGACATCAACAGAGAAAGAGAAACAGAAACAAAGAAAAGAAAAACGAGAGAGACATAAACGGAAAGAAAGAGAAACAGAGGCAGAAACAGAGAAAGAGAGAGACATCAACAGAGAAAGAGAGAAAACAGAAACAAAGAGAGAGAGAGATAAAACAGAGAAAAGAGGGGCAGAAACAAAGAGAGAGAAAGAGAGAGATAAACAGAGAAAGAGAGACATCAACAGAGAAAGAGAGAAACAGAAACAAAGAGAGAGAGAGACATAAACGGAGAAAGAGAGGCATAAACAGAGAAAGAGAGACATCAACAGAGAAAGAGAGAAACAGAAACAAAGAGAGAGAGACATAAACGGAGAAAGGTATAAAGAGAAAGAGAGACATAAACAGAGAAAGAGAAAACAGAAACAAAGAGAGAGAGACATAAACGGAGAAAGAGAGGCATAAACAGAGAAAGAGAGACATCAACAGAGAAAGAGAGAAACAGAAACAAAGAGAGAGAGACATAAACGGAGAAAGAGAGGCATAAACAGAGAAAGAGAGACATCAACAGAGAAAGAGAGACATCAACAGAGAAAGAGAGAAACAGAAACAAAGAGAGAGAGACATAAACGGAGAAAGAGAGGCATAAACAGAGAAAGAGAGACATCAACAGAGAAAGAAAGAGAGAAAGAGAGAAACAGAAACAAAGAGAGAGAGACATCAACAGAAAGAAAGAGAAAGAAACAGAAACAAAGAGAGAGAGAGAGATAAACGGAAAAAAGAGAGGCATAAACAGAGAAAGAGAGATAAACATCAACAGAGAAAGAGAGAAACAGAAAAAGAGAGAGAGACATAAACGGAGAAAGAGAGGCATAAACAGAGAAAAACAGAGAAAGAGAGACATCAACAGAGAAAGAGAGAAACAGAAACAAAGAGAGAGAGACATAAACGGAGAAAGAGAGATAAACAGAACAGAGAAATAAACAGAGATAAACAGAGAAAGAGAGAGATCAACAGAGAAGAGAGAAAAAGAGACAGAAACAAGAGAGAGAGAGGCATAAACGGAGAAAGAGAAAGAGAGAAACATAAACAGAGAAAGAGAGACATAAACAGAGAAAGAGAGACATCAACAGAGAAAGAGAGAAACAGAAACAAAGAGAGAGAGACATAAACGGAGAAAGAGAGGCATAAACAGAGAAAGAGAGACATAAACAGAGAAAGAGAGACATCAACAGAGAAAGAGAGAAACGGAAAAAGAAAGAGAGAAAGACATAAACAGAGAAAGAGAGGCATAAACAGAGAAAGAGAGACATAAACAGAGAAAGAGAGACATAAACAGAAAGGAGAAAGAGAGAAAACATAAAAACAGAAGAGAGAGACATAAACAGAGAAAGAGAGAAACAAAAAAGAGAGAGACATAAACAGAGAAGGAGAGAGATAAAAGAGAAAGAGAGACATCAACAGAGAAAGAGAGAAACAGAAACAAAGAGAGAGAGACATAAACGGACAAAGAGAGGCATAAACAGAGAAAGAGAGACATAAACAGAGAAAGAGAGACATCAACAGAGAAAGAGAGAAACTGAAACAAGGAAAGAGAGAGACATAAACGGAGAAAGAGAGGCATAAACAGAGAAAGAGAGACATCAACAGAGAAAGAGAAACAGAAATAAACAGAGAAAGAGAGACATCAACAGAAAAGAGAGAAACATCAACAGAGAAAGAGAGAAACAGAAACAAAGAGAGAGAGACATAAACAGAGAAAGAGAGGCATAAACAGAGAAAGAGAGACATAAACAGAGAAAGAGAGACATCAACAGAGAAAGAGAGAAACAGAAACAAAGAGAGAGAGACATAAACGGAGAAAGAGAGGCATAAACAGAGAAAGAGAGACATCAACAGAGAAAGAGAGGCATAAACAGAGAAAGAGAGACATCAACAGAGAAAGAGAGACATCAACAGAGAAAGAGAGAAACAGAAACAAAGAGAGAGAGACATAAACGGAGAAAGAGAGGCATAAACAGAGAAAGAGAGACATAAACAGAGAAAGAGAGACATCAACAGAGAAAGAGAGAAACAGAAACAAAGAGAGAGAGACATAAACGGAGAAAGAGAGGCATAAACAGAGAAAGAGAGGTATAAACAGAGAAAGAGAGACATCAACAGAGAAAGAGAGAAATCAACAGAAAAGAAAAACAGAGAGAGAGACATAAACGGAGAAAGAGAGGCATAAACAGAGAAAGAGAGACATAAACAGAGAAAGAGAGACATCAACAGAGAAAGAGAAAAGAAACAAAACAAAGAGAGAGAGAGGCATAAACAAAACGGAGAAAAACAGAGAGGCATAAACAGAGAAAGAGAGAAACATCAACAGAGAAAGAGAGACATCAAACAGAGAAAAGAGAGAAACAGAAACAAAACAGAGAGAGACATAAACGGAGAAAGAGAGGCATAAACAGAGAAAGAGAGACATAAACAGAGAAAGAGAGACATCAACAGAGAAAGAGAGAAACAGAAACAAAGAGAGAGAGACATAAACGGAGAAAGAGAGGCATAAACAGAGAAAGAGAGACATAAAGAAAATTGCTTGATGCTAATATATTTCTTAGATATGACATCACATTTTCAAGAAAGAGCTTAAGTAGGATTCTACTGCGATATATCGGCATTTATTTATTTTATGGCATAAAATGATAATTTATTATCTCTCCAGAGAAAGAAATGAATAAACAAACAAATAAAGAGATAAATCTTGTCTCGAGTATCAGAATTTTGTAAATAAATATTAATAAAAAAAAAATTTACAAAAACCCTCTATATCTGTCCATATTTCTAAGATGAGGTATTGTAATTATTTGCACTATTTACATTGTTCGGAATGTTGTCCTCATCTTTGTTGCTATATTCACGACTTTTCAGCCGTTGTACGATGCGGACTTCTTCAGTATCAGTGTATATTTCTGAGATGAGGTATCGTAATTATTTTGCACTATTTACATTTTTCGGATTGTTGTCTTCATCTTTGTTGCCATATTCACAACGTTTCGGCCGTTGTACGCTCCGGCCTTCTTCAGCTGATTGGAATTTCGAACTGAACCCTTTATTTCGTCGAGCGAGGTAAATTGTTCTAATTCCATGTGCCATGCCTCTTCCAGATGATCTCAGTATCAGTTATCTTCCTTTAAATCAACTCTCCAAGTTTTTTTATTCACCTCAGCTGTAGCCAGGTATTGAACTCACAACTCTTTTGGTGAAGTCACTGGATGCTACCAACGCTTTTAAGGTATATGAAAATGTGCCGCGCCAGGAAATTTTTCTCCCCGGAATCGATCCTGCAGATCTACAAATCAACAACTCGCCCTTGCATGGAGTACTGCTGCCATATATGGTCTGGAGCCCCTTCTGTTTGCCTCGGGGTTCTTGATAGGCTCCAGAGGCCGATATGCAATATGATTGGCCCTGCTCTGGCATCTCGTCTACAGTCACTTTCTCACAGACGCGCCGTCGCCTCTCTCTGTCTGTTTTACAAATACTTTCATGGCAATTGCTCCGAGGAGCTGCATTCGCTGGTTCCCAGACTTCATGAGTTCAAGCGCCCTACGAAGCTGGCATCCAGCTCTCACCCTTTCACTGTCGAAACTCCTAAATGTAGCCGTCTCTTCTACTCCAATAGCTTCATGTCTCGCACCTCTCGCCTGTGGAACTCCCTTCCCTATTCCAGTTTCCCTGAGAGCTATAATCTCCAGCTATTCAAATGTAATGTCAATCGACATCTCCAGTTGCTTTGATCTATCCACTACCCTTCTCCTCATCCTTTCCTCTATCTCTCCTATCTGATCTTGCTCTAAATTTTCTGTAACCCCTTGCGTCCTAGTGGCTTCCCGCCTTGCTTGGGGTGAAATGCTTAAAAAAAAACAACATGAGAAAAATAATGAAAATAGATTTGGAATTCTATGTGACATCCAATCTGTTATATTGCTTACATATTGCAGTGAATGCTAGGCAATTTCCTTAAGAAGTCATTTGAAACACCTGACACGTGCGTTTACCGATGAATTCCGAGAATAACATGTGCAGTGCATGTGACTAACAAGGAAGTTTTAAGGAGACAAAGAAACTATAGGGGAACTGTCCCTCCTCTTCTTCTATGTGTCGCGTTCCTCCAGGACGTAGCGATCATAGTTCTTCACAATTTAGTGTTCTGCACCGTGCTCTCAGTGGCATAGCTAGAGTCTGCCGCCAGGGGGCAGCCCTTGAGTTTGCCGCCTCAACCTTCACAAAAATACATATTACACAGAGACTCACTCTTAAAGTTATAAAACTAGTTTGTGTATCATTATAATATTACGTTCACACATTCAAATACAGTATGCTTTAAATACAAACCAAATATACTTAAACTTTACCAGTCAGGTTAAAAAATAAAAACGACATATAGGAAGGAGTGTAATTAGGACCATCTTTATTTCTAAAATGAAGATTACAACTTTCTGTAAATTAACTTTTGTTACTTTTTTGTTTCAAATTCTTCAATGACATTGTCAAAAACTATTTCATCTGTCAATTGTCGCGCTATAAGAAGTAGATAAACTAATAAATATGCCATAGTTTAATTTACTAGAAATCTGAAATATACTCCAACTATGTGTACGGTCCCAACATTAAAACCCCTTTAATTTCAGTAGAGTATATACGGGCTACAACACGTACAAAAGTGCTGGCACCATAAAACCGCACTCTCTAGCTACGCCACTGCGCGCTGTTCTAAGCTAAGCTTACTAAATTCATTCGCGTTAATGCGAATTAAGGGTTGGATAGTTTGTCGTTTAATAATTTCTGTTCGAACTGGGTGCTCCAGACTTAGAGGTTTTCGGCAGAGAGAAAAGATATTGACAAATTAATGAAAGTTCAGTTGCCAAAAATTAATGTAAACCGAATCGAAAAGAAATAACTTATGTGGATAGAGTTTTCTCTGTTAATAATCGATGGGCTTCTTACACATGAACATAAAATTGTTATCTAGATCCTGAAGTTTTTGAACTCTCAGAAAATAAAGGAAGAAAAATCATCCGTGCTTTTTGCTTATCCGTTAAAGAAAATGTTTAAAATTATCGATGTTAGAGAAAAAGATCATTAGACATTCTGTGGAAATACTCGACAAAAATAAACAAAACAAAAAAAAAAAATAGATAAAAATGAGCTGCGGTAAATTTACCGATTATATAAAACACTTGTAGATTTGAAAAAAAAAATAATTAAAATATTCGATAGACAGAACTTGTACATTCAAATTCTGGAACATTCGTTTTCAAAGAAATCGTAACTGTTGTTCAATGTACGTCAAATATGACGAGAGCGTCCACGTATATATATACATATATATATATATATGTCTATAATTGTTTAATATATGCAATGAGTTGTGGAGACGTTGAGCACTTTACTTCAGTGCATCGGTAGCTGTTCGCCATTTAGTTTTTCTTTCTTTTTTCTTTACTTGTTCGTGGTTTTTTCTTGTTTAAGGTGTTAGGTCTTGTGGCAAGTCATCTCTTGGTCACACCAATATAGTTGTTTTTTTCTTTAATATGCGTATATATATATATATATATATATATATATATATATATATATATATATATATATATATATATATATATATATATATTAAAAGACATTTTATATTTAACGTTCTTTTTTATAGATACAAGTATTTAAGTAAACGCTCTGTTTATAATAAACAGTATTAAATAACATTTACCGGCCTGAATGTTCGAGAAATTTTCATAGAACGAATATTTTCTATGAAATACTGTTTATTATAAACAGAGCATTTACTTAAATACTTGTATCTATAAAAAGAACGTTAAACATAAAAATGTCTTTAATAAATATATATATATATATATATATATATATATATATATATATATATATATATATATATATATAGAAAAAATCTAGAAAGCTAAACAAATACTCCTGTTCGTTCCAAATAATAGAAAATGATTAAACGCAGGAACTCTGTCGAAATACAGGATATGTACATATCTATATATATATATATATATATATATATATAGAGAGAGAGAGAGAGAGAGAGAGAGGGGAGAGAGAGATAGGATATATATATATATATATTAATCTCTCTCTCTCTTTCTATATATATATGAATATATATGTATACATGAATACATACATATATATATATTCATATATAATTCATAAATATATATTCACACATATATATATATATATATATATATATATATATATATATATATATATATATATATATATATATATATACATACAGATATCAGACAGATAATACTTAAGTGAATAATAAAATGAAAAAAAGCAACATAAAAGGAACATATTTTGTACCGAGAAAAATTATTAATCTAAAGCAGTCAGGGGCAAAATGCGGCCCTCGGGTCACATGCGGCCCGATTGACTTTCTGAATGGTACGCCTAATTTCATGAGGAAAATAACGTTTATTAAAATATTGTTTGTTTCCTTTCATTCTGACTTGTTCACAAACACAGGCATATCTTCATGCAAGGAAAAACTATGAAAAAGTGGGGAAAATATTCGTGCGACGCTTTTCATCCTTTATGAATGCATCGCAACAATTTTTCCCACTTTTACATAGATTCTCCTTATACACACACACACACACACACACACACATACAAATATATATATATATATATATATATATATATATATATATATATATATATATATATATTATTTATTTAAAAATATGATTCCAAAACGCTACATAAGAGGTCTCATGTTTCAAAACAAGAGCCGAAAACTACAATATAATCCTTTAAATTAAATTGAGTTTAAATTAAAATGGGCTCTGTTCCATCTTCAAGCGAAATTTTGT